TAGCTTACAAGATTCATCTTGAAGTTGTCAAGGACTTGAACATATAATGTGGGGGAAGCAGTTATCATTATCCATTATCTTCTTCTAATATCACTGGGTCCTTTCCTGTTTGCTTGGATTGCTGGTTTCTGCAGCTATGTTCTATTAATACCTTTACCTTGATACATATAGGCAGATCTAATCAGCTTTGTTGCTCTTCCTTGTAAGTACTATTTCCAACAATTGTTTCCCTTTTTGTTATTCCCTCTTCCATTTTGTAAATATATCTTCTATTTACCATAACTGAGCATGTGTGCTTTATCCCACTTAACTTTGGTTCTATGCCTAGAGCTTTCTGCTTGATTATTAGTGCTGTTTAAGATTTTGGGTCTGGGTATTTGAAATTAAAGGTGCTGGCTTGGATCATTATTTCTTAAGCCCTAGGTGTAAGGTCCAGTTCTGGCTCAAGCAGAATTGGACATAAAGGGTGGTAACAGCTTAGTTTGCTAGAGCTTGGTGTTTATTACTCCTCTTATATGTTTGGACCTATTAGTTCCAGTCATTAATCTGGCTGATACATTCTGCACAAGCTGCAGCTTCTGAGCAGTCATACATAGTGTTCATTGCAGTAATTTAATTTAAAGATTACCAAGCACAGATTGCTGAAACTAGGCTATCCCTGTCTAGATAGGAGCATAGTTGGGCCACCATCTGAAACTGTAGAAGGCAATTCAAGCCACCTTGGCACCTGAGCCTCAGGTGACAAAGAAGAATGAAGAACCACCTGAAAGGTATAAACTTCTTTCTTTAGGGGACTGCAACTTTATTGAGAACAGGCTGGACACCCTCCATTCAGTCAAAGGCACCACCCACCAACAGCATCTCAGGTTTGTTCTGGGTTGAGTCTTTTGTTGCAGCCAGACACTTAGGTTTAGCACATCCACAGCCTCACTGCTGATGATGAAAAGGAGAAATAGAGCTGTGTGCTAGCAGCATACTGAGTGCAATGAACTCCAAAACTATAGCTGAACCCACTCAGTGGTTTCATGTGGATGTTAAACAGCATGAGGATGAAACAGACCCCTTAGGAACTCCGTGCTGGAGAATCCAAAGGGTTGAACAATATTTTATAAGCACCTCTTTCTGGAGACAGCCCTCCATGTCACCACTGCAACACAGTGCCCCTTCACTCCCAACTCAAGCAGTTGTTTCAGAAGGATACAATGGTCGATGGTATTGAAAGTCTCTAAGAGTAATAACAGAGCTTTATACCTCCTGGCATAGGTTATCATACAGGGTGACAAAAGCTATTACCATGCCAAAACCAGGCCCAAACCCAAACTGATAGGATCCACATAATAAGTCTCATCCAAGGGTGCCTGGAGTTGACTGGTAACAACCATCTCAAGAACCTTGCTAATGGGCCTAAAGTTATTAAAGTTTTTTCAGGCGAAAGGAGAATTACTTCAGATGTGGTCTCACTCTGCCTCTTCAAGGCAGCATGAGACTAATACCTCTTTGCAAGAAAATGAATACCCCCATGGACCAGCTGGTTGTTCCTTTCTTACTGACATTTATAAACCAGGGTGGGCAAGGATCCAGAATAGAAAAGGTTGCATAAATGTGGCCAAGCACCTTACCAACATCTTCAAGGTGTACCAACTGAAACCAATCCAATAAAATCAGACCAACTGTACTCTGGATATCTCCACAGATTCAACTGCCTTAATTCTGGAATCTAAGTCCAGAAGATGCAAGAGATTTTTTTCCCCTGGAAGTGCCCATCAAGTACATTGCAGAGTCTTCAGTTAGTTTCACGATGTTCCTGGTATCAGAATGTAATTGGTCCCGGACAACCCTGAAAAGCTGCACTGGGCAGTAAAAGGAAAATTGAATAGAGGCAGCGAGATATTCTTTGCTGCCCTCACTACCTCCAAATAAGCCTGACTGTAGGCACATACCAGGTTTGGATTGCATCTATTGGGAGTTTTCCTCCCTCTGCACTCAAGCTGTCTCTTAAGCCATTTCATCACTCTTGATTTTGGGGTGTACCACAGCTGTATGGGGCAAACATGTCAACCACCTGGGTCATTTCTGTATTCCACAATATGAGCAGGGTTTCAATAGGAGTACCAGCCAGATCAGCTGGAAAATATGCCAGAGCCCTCTGGAAAATATTTAGATCCATTAGCCCAAGGGGTAGCCTATCTTAATAAGTTCTCCACCCCACAAGAGGGGTAAACTGCTGTCTCATGATCAAAAGGCTAAGTCCTATACTCAGCATATCCAGCTGAAAAAACTAATTCCAGAGTATGCCCTGTTAGATGTGTCAGGCTGATGATATGCTGGGACAGTCCCATGGTTGTCATGAAATCCTGAGCTGCCCCAGATAGGGTGCCCTCAGCATGAAAGCTGAAATCTCCTACATTGAGATCCTACATTGTGGGGGACCACCACCATCAGTAGTTTGTGTCAGTATTTTCCCAAAGTACAATGGCTGACATACGGGTACATGCCAACAAATGCAACATAGTATCCACAGTATTTTTAATGCAGTCATGTGTCAGTTGCTAATAATAGTACTGAAATCACAAGAAAATTGCAGGGAAGAGGGCAGTATATAAATATTAAAATATGTTTTTTTAGTTGACAGGGTTTGAAAGGTTTCCTTTCCACTGGTTTCCTTTCATAAATTTCTTCAACATGCATGTAGGAAATGTGGGAAGGGGTAGAAGTGGGGGAGGGGATGTTGCAAAGCAGTTTCTTCAGCTTTTAAACTAATTCTTCCTGTAAGGAACAATATGGCTCCATTGCATGCTGCCTGGGTTTCAATCAGTAAATAATTGTCTGCTGCTTTATGATCTTCTCTAACTTTTATTTTAAAACTCTTTTGTTTTATTTGTAAGATGTCTCAAGACTTTCTGCTGATAATACACATTAAATTAAAGAACAAGGATACAATTGAAGAAATGGTGCTTATTCTTTCAGGCTACATGCAGATACTGCCTTCCTAGCATGCAGTTCTGTGGCACAAGTTACATTGTATATCTCTGAATATGCCCAATTGGACATAGTGGGATCTATTTCTGCATAAATATACATAGGATTACAGATATAAAATTGAAATTCTGCACACATCTAGGAAACTCCTACTGAACTCAATAGAACTTCCTTCTGAATAGGCACATAACATATCTGAGAAGGCATTATGTACTTGGCTTACTGTCTCTGCCAAGCTGAAAGGACCATCTAGCACATCTATTTGTGTTATCACTCCAAGGTAAAGAAGGAATAGGCTTATGTGCAAGCAAGGCAGTTGGATCAATTAGAATCTATGGGATAGAAATGGAAAATGTATTAGCACAATCTTTTTTCTGCAAGAATCCGGGATCTGCAGCCACTGTAAACATTCATTCACACAAGTTTTAAAATTTGTTTAAGACTCAATAACTATTTTGTGTCTCAGCCTCAATTCTGTACTTTCTCAAAACCATGAAGAGCTACAATTGTTCCACTTATACTATGTTTAGAACACACAAAGGTTGTGTACTATTTTTGCAGCTGTAGAGTGAGAAAAGTTGCACCTACTCTTTTATTTAAAGAAAAAGTAGATAAGCCTTTGGAAGCAATTCACACTAGTTTGGAAAGAGAATAGCAACACAAGATTAAAGCCATAACCCATAGGTTAAATTTCCTAAGGTTGCAATGGCAATAACTTTCCTTCAGATTTTGATAAGGTGGGAGGGGAGAACCAGGAAGAACCTCTACCTCCTTGTAATGTTTTCATGTCAACATTTTAAAAAACTAGAGAAAATTAACCATAGGCAGACAGACAAGCTATCCAAAAGCTTGTCTTAGCATTATGGTATATAAAAATATACCAGGTAAGTGTAAGGCATTCTGCAAGGAATTGAGGCCTGGTAAGTGTTGAAACTCCCTATACACCTGCAAGGTAGTTGGCTAGGACAAAATAAACAAGGAACACTTTATTGCAGTGCATTTCAAATAAAATGAATGTGCTTGGCAGAAACTTTTAAGAATCTTTTTTCTCTTTCATTCATTTTCCTTTTAAGAAATCCCATTCCATTTTCTCACCTTATCTTTCTCCTATAACAATTTCAAGTGCCTAGACGAACTTCCATCCTGCATGGTTTTTTTTTTTTTAATGTGAATCTTTGTATCCTATGGACATGTTTATAAATGTATTAAAAGTGTATTCAGCATGCTTAAGCTCTCTTTAATAGTTGTCACACTTAAGGAGTCCTAAGTTAAGTGCATAATCCTGTGATCTTTGCAAGAATCCAAGCAATCAGAAAGCAGTGAGTGATCTACCAAAATGTGACCAATAGACCATGAGCTCTCATTTTGCCCACTCCTGCTTTTTTGTCTTATAAGCTTTCCTTGTAACCAACTTGGCGAATCAGAACATATATTCAACAATTTTCTTGATTCTAGACTAAGTAGATAGATGAACTTTCCTCAACCCATTGCCCTGCAGATGTTCTTGGACTGCAAGTCTTATAATCTATGATCATTGCCAATGCTGGCTGGGTGAAAACTTCAGTCCAAAATATTTGGAGGCTAACAGGTTGGGAAGGCTGGATTAGATGTTATTTTTCTACATTCACAGAAAGAATTTTTCTACATTCATGTGTGGTGGGAAAGGCAACAATACCACAAGAGGAAAACTAAGTGAAATGGGTGAGTAGAATGGCAACCACATTTTTAAGTAGAATGTACACATCAAAAGCTAAACTTTGATTATAAGTGATCTATGTCTGATTTCTGGTACAGTATCAAGGAATGATGCTTCTACACAACAAAAGATGCACAGAGGAGACTGTGCTAATAAGCCATAAACATACTGCTGGTTTGTTATTTATTAATATTACTTGCTGAACTCAATACTGATCAGAGAGTTTACACATCTCTCTCTCTCACACACACAAATAATATGTGACAACTCACCACAATCTGTATATATTGTAGAAACAACAGCCATGGCCACAACAATAAAGATATTCATTAACCAATATTCAAATTTACTAGAAAGCAAAGTTACACTAATCCTTTAGTAAAGTTTACAAACTTTTTTTAAAAAGTGCATAACATTTCAAACAAAGTAAACATGACATCACTTTACTAATAAAGAAAAATAAACATTTGGGCTTAGAATAAAACAACAAAAACTCTGTGATAGGTGTCCACTTGATTGCCATAGCAAGACTTTTTTTGTTTTGTTTTGCTCCAGCCTTGACTACTGAAAATTAAGAACCCAGTTCTAAAGACTACAATAAATATACATGTCATTTTAGAGAACAAATATTGACCATCTTTCTGGGGCTTTTCTGTTTCTCATGTAACCCCAGTGCAACATTTCTGCTTTTAAGCTATACTGATAAGTTTACTCCTAAAACTTCTGCACTAGATTTTTTTAAAAAAAACCTTACATTTTAAATTCCTTAAAGGAGAAGATTAAAGAACGTATTCTGTTTGAATCTTGGATTTCCAACCAACTATAAGCAAAGTGACTTAACTGTACTAAGAAAACACCAGACATGTCAAACTACGTGTTTGTTATATTGTATATTCTTCTGTGAAAGAATGCTGATGAATAATTAGGTTACAATTCCATCTGTTTAGTAGTTTTAGAGTCTATCAAATACACACCACCACATTATGCAAAAAGAAGAAAAGAACTGTAGCCCTTTCAAAACAAGTGGTAGAAAAAATTCACAGTCAATGAAGTTGCCTTCATAAGTGTTTTGAGAAGGGGCAGTGTACTCTAAATTGTACAATATAAAACATTGTAAGTAACAGAGCTGAAAAAACATAGAAGCAGAGTTCCTTGAAAAAACAAACAGTGCTTCCTTTACAGGTGATTCTAATAGGTGAACACTCTAGCCAGACAGCTCTGAGGTTCAGTGAAGCCATTGCCATAACAATGCAATTCATGCCCCTGGTGAGTTGAAGGCCACTTGGGACACAACCTAGTTTTTTCTATGTCTTACAGGCATTTCATCAAATGGTGATTTGTGATGAGATCCATCTGTCAAGAGTCTCGCAAAGTCAGCAACAAAGTCTCAACCATTGCTAACAGAGGTAGAGAAAGTTCTGTCTATGGCTACCACCTGCTTTCCCCTTTTTAGGGCTGGGTTTTGTCGGTTTGAATAACAAAACACATCCATTTTTAATTTTGTTTTATTTGCTGCTGCTGTTGTTCAATCAGCTAGCTCACAAAATACAATTTTTCCTGGCAGGCTCTTGAAGTTGGAAAACATCCCACAACTGCTGCTGTTGGTCAAAGTGGGACATTAGTTTTCTTGTTTTGTTGCTTCTCCCTGGGGTTCCTCAGTTTGTTCAGTGGGATTTCTCTGTGCATCATCTTCTCCTTCTGCAAGACACAATGAAGATAAGCAGCAATGAAAGTGTGTTCAAATTGATCCAACCAAAGTTTGTAAATTCCACAACATTAAAGGTGAGTGGATAAGAGGCTTAGTCTGCCTTTAGGCAAATCACTACCCTACACAGAGTAGTGCAAATTAAAGAGCTATTGTGAGGACAATGAGATACAAGCTGTAAAGGCACTCTGTTCTCTGAAGCAATGCAGAAATGATCCAGAAGGCCTCAGATGTTTGTACTATGAGGCAATGACTGGATGGTAAAGAACTTTGTCATTGCCTGCCCCTCCCGCCAGTGTGTCATTCTGGATCTCATGGTTCTTGCTATTATGCTGGATACAGATGTTACTGGCAGCAGTTTGGGATGATGTCACATAGAAATTGATTTCTGTGCTTCTGTCATGTAGCATGAAAAATAAGATGGCAGTAGAAGAAGTGCAACAGTTACTAATCAATGATGAATGTTTACTGGTATACAAACAGTAGGCATAGCAAACATCTTTCTCAGAAAGTGAGAACAGTGATATATAGGTAGGCTTTTACTCATGTCATGGTCTGGTTCACACTTGAATGTATTTCCACATCCATCTTGTGGTATTTCAATATTTCAGGAAGCAGCAGTTGCCAGGCTTCTTCCTCTTTTTCTCCATACTCCTCTTCTCTCCCCACCAGTGCTGCTGCCACACTCCTCCTTTACTCCACAGTGGCCACCTGCCTTCTCATCCCGCCACCACATCCAGAATGCCTCACTCTGAGAAGGTCCTCCTCCTTGATTCTGGGTGAGATGGCCTTGGTGCTTGCCTGTGTTATGACAGTACAGGCTATTTCAAGACAACTTCACCCAGAATGCCTGGTTTGCTTTGTGAAAGAACCTCTCAAAATGAAGTATTTGGGCCACACAAGTTCTTTGGCAAGCTGGGCCAGTCCCTTTTCTGCCAAGTCATATCCTGCAACAGGGAAGCAGCCAGTTAAGCTTTCCAGAGAGGCAAGGGAGAAGAGCCAAAAATACTGCCACCTTCAGAGGGTCATTTGTTTGCCCTCCCCATTTCATACCCCAGGTGATGGCCTGATTTGCAACCCCCTCCTGTACCTGCATATGTTATTGAAAAGCACTGCATTTGAAGTAATGTTTGTGGTGTTATATTTCTCAAGGCCTTTTCACACACGGAAGTCATTTGTAGTCTTAGAAGCAACCCAGCCTATTCTTCTAACTTCTAGAATTATTTTAGAATGAGAGAGAACTGAATAAGAAAACAACTGTGATGCTTGCACTTCTTTCAGTACTGTTCTGAAGAATGAAGAAAAAGATGGAACTAATGATACAATAAATGAAATTCAAGAAAATGTGTCACATCAGGCGAAGAACATCCTTTTGCCCTCACAATTTGTCCACTCATCAGGTGTTCACTCTTGGAAGTTACAAAGAGTTACAAGTTATGGAAGCACAGATGATTACAACTAATTCCTAAACATTTTTTCTTAAACCAAGAAATTTCTGGTTAGGTGGCGCAATCACAGGACCAGCTACTTAGCATTACTTGTACCAGCTCTATATAGATACTTTGTGGTTAAGTCAGTTTTCCCAGCTCAAGAAGCTATCAGGACTGGCAAGTTCATGTTGCTAACAACACCAGTACTGGGATGGTATCTTTCACCACATTTGTGGGAAGCAGGATAAAGGACCATGGATCAATGGAACAGCACATGCTTTGCTTGCAGAAGATGCCAGTTTCAAATCTTAGCATCTCTGGATAAATTTCTGGAAAAACATATGCCTGAAACCCTGGAAAGCTGCTGCAGTCAGCAACAGTCAGTGTTGACAAAACTGAGATAGATGAACCAAGGGCCTGACTCATAAGGCAGCTGGCTGTGTCCTGGTGGTGAGGAACATTCTGTTCTCCAACTGTTCTGTTTTCCAACAGGTCGCTATTTCTCTCACCTGCTTAACTATCTACCACTTGAGGTGAGCACTTTACACTGCTTCATGGGAGGGCAAGTCCTACTCTTAAGACATAGGGGGAGTATGGTCTCAGTGCCAGCATGGCTATGCTGGACCAATAACTCTACTATAGGATCTCCTGGGGTACAATGGCCTCATGGCACATGGCCCACATGCCAGATAACTCTGTCAAACAGTTAAGCAGAATGGTTCATGATCATCATAATTAATCTGAAGCATGTTAATGTCACTCTTCAGCCAAAAGGCTCCCAGAGTGGCTTACACATAGCCAATCAGAAAAGACAGTTCTTGTCCGTAGGCTCACAGTCATGAGGTTTAACAGAGCAGGCATTTAGCAGGCTTAATGAAATAGCCCTGTTCTTTCTCTCATTTTTCTGCACAGCCCTGCTGGAATGGCTAGTGCTGGTGACAGCTGAAGAGTCTTCATGAAGGAATTATGTAATATAACTAGTTTATTTTTCTACATTAGTAAAGTGATGTCATGTTTACTTTGTTTGAACTGTTATGCACTTTTTGAAAAAGTTTGTAAACTTTACTAAAGATTAGTGTAACTTTGCTTTCTAGTAAATTTGAATATTGGTTCATGAATATCTTGCTAGGAACTTAAAATGTCCAGGGGCAAGGCTTGAAGGACAAAAATCAGTGTAAAATCCGCATGTGTGCATGTGAGAGAGAGAGAATGAGAATTTTAAAATAATTTAAGGGTTATTTGAATTCACAGAACACAAAGCCAGAAGAGTAACTTCTCTAAAGAATCTAATATAACATAATTTTGCATCTTGGCCCAGAACAACCCAAATCAATGGAAAGGGTACTTTCTTAACTGCTGTGCAGGGAAAGATGGGGTGGGTGGGTGTATTATAGCATGTGAGGAGGAGGAAGTGAATCCCTTTTCAGCTGCAATTCCTTTTGCAAAGGGACAAATAAACAGGAAAAAGGCCTTTCCACTGACAATGGAACCCATGAGCCCACAACTAGGAATGTCCCTGCACTGAAAAATATTAAAGAATAGAGATGCTTGCTCTAGTTTAGGCCTGTGCAAGTTGTGATCCATCATGTCAACCAAAACTCACCAGTCACATAACACTCCTCCCCGCTCTACTCACCTCTATGAAAAAAACACATGAATTGTCAAGCAGCTGACAGGTGGATATAATCATAGACACAGACACAGTCTTTGACTTTTGTCTATTACTGCGATATGAATTCACCAGACTACATTAAACAAGCATTCACATAAATAAGTCAGGTAAAGAGAGAAATGGTCAACACAAAAGGTCAACACAGTGTTTGCATGAGTGATGCCCTAGAACCATAAACATTTATGCTATTAACAATTTTCTGTAACTGTTAAAAAGTTAAGTAATTACCAGTTTTGTTTATATCAAGTTCTGATAACTTCAGGGATAATTCACTTGAATTCCCACTCGTAGAGGACACAAGGATATCATGAAGAGCATTCCTTCTCCCGGTTCTTCCAGAAGCAATGAAATCTGCATAGGTAGATTCCACATCAGTCATTGCTAATAATCCTCATAGCAGTACCTAAGAGAATTCAGATGAAAGCAGATCTGTTAACTGAATGTTAGAAGCACATGCAAGAGGATGACAAATATGGGCACGGCCAAATACATGTTAATCTGAGAAGCTGAAAAGGAATTGCACATTTGATGTCATGTAAGGATCAGATGATGCAGCAGTCAGGAAGCATACAATAATTTTACTGTTTTTCCTAAACAAGAACAGAAAAGTAACAGGAAACTCTGGACAGTAGTCAGTCAGAATTATGTCTGTTACCATCTACTGTCTAAAATATATAATACCACTAGCCACATACTAATAACTGCTTCATCTTTTAGAATTTTGAATAGCTCAGCTGGAATACTGTCTCCTCCACTAGCTTTGTTGTTGCTCAGTCTTCCTAAGGCCCATTTGACTTCACATTCCAGGATGTCTGGCTCAAGGTCAGCGACCATCCCATTATGGTTCTCAGGAATGTTAAGGTCTTTCTTGTATAGTTATCCTGTGTAATCTTGCCACCTCTTCTCAATCTCTTCTGCCTCTCTTAGGTCCCTGCCATTTTGGTCCTTTATCATGCCCATCTTTGCATGAAACGTTCCCTCCATATCTCCAATTTTCTTGAACAGATCTCTAGTCTTTCCTATTCTATTATTTTCTTCTATTTCTTTGTCCTGTTCATTTAAGAACGCATTCTTATTTCTTCTAGCTATTCTCTGGAATTTTGCATTCAAGTGGGTGTATATTTCTCTTTCTCCCTTGCCTATTGCTTCTATTCTTTCCTCAGCTATTTGTAAAACTTCCTCAGACATCTGGCTTTCTTGCATTTCTTTGGGATGGTTTTAGTTGCTGCCTCTTGTACAATGTTGCGAACCTCCGTCCATAGTTCTTCAGGCACTCTGTCTATCAGATCTAATTCCTTAAATCTATTTGTCACCTCTACTGTATATTCATCAGGGATATGATTTAGGTCATACCTGAGTGGTCCAGTGCTTTTCCCTACTTTCTTCAATTTAAGCCTAAATTTTGCAACAAGAAGCTCATGATCTGAGCCACAGTCAGCTCCTGGTCTAGTTTTTACTGACTGTATAGAGCTTCTCCATCTTAGGCTGCAGAGCACATAGTCAATCTGATTTCTGTGTTGACCATCTGGTGATGTCCATGCACAGAGTCGTCTCTTGGGTTGTTGGAAAAGAGTGTTTGCTATGACCGTCGTATTCTCTTGACAAAATTCTACCAGCCTGTGCCCTGCTTCATTTTGTACTCCAAGGCCAAACTTCCCTGTTATTTCAGTTATCCTTTGGTTTCCTACTTTGATTGATTTTTGATTGATTGATTTATATCATGCCTTTTTCCTACAAAGGACTCAAGGCAGCTTACATCATTCTCCTCCTCCATCTTATCCCCACAACAACAACCCTGTGAAGTAGGTTGGGCTGAGAGTCTGTGACTGGCCAAAAGTCACCCAGTTGGCTCCATGGCTGAGCGGGGACTAGAACCCAGATCATCTGAGTCCCAGTCCCTGCTCTTAACCACTGCACCACACTGGCTCTCTTTAGCATTCTAATTCCTCATGATGACAAGGACATCATTTTTTGGTGTTATTTCTAGAAGGTGTTGTAGGCCTTCATGGAACCGGTCAACTCCAGCCTCTTCAGCACCAGTGGTTGGGGCATAGACTTGGATTACTGTGATGTTGAATGGTTTGCCTTGGATTCGAACTGAGAGCATTCTGTCATTTTGGAGATTGTATCCCAGTCCTGCTTTTCCTACTCTTTTGTTGACTATGAAGGCTACTCCATTCTTCTGAGGGATTCTTTCCCACAGTAGTATACCTGATGGTCATCTGAATTAAATTCACCCATTCCTCTCCATTTTAGTTCACTGATTCCCAAGATGTCGATGTTCAGTCTTGTCATCTCTTGCTTGACCATGTCCAGCTTGCCTTGATTCATGGACCTTACATTCCAGATTCATATGCAGTATTGGTCTTTACAGCATCAGACATTCCTTTCACCACCAGATATATCTGCAACTGAGTGTCCTTTCGGCTTTGACCCAGTAGCGTCATTCTTTCTGGAGCTACTAGTACTAGCCCTCTGCTCTTCCCCAGTAGCACATTGGACACCTTCTGACCTGAGGGGTTCATTTTCTGGCATCATAACTTTTTGTCTTTTGGTCCTGTCCATGGGGTTTTCATGGCCAGGATACTGGAGTGGGTTGCCATTTCCTTCTCCAGTGGATGCTAACTCAATTGATGCTAACTGAAGCCTTTATTTTAAGCTTAACTGCATCTGAAGAAAGGCAACAGTGATGGAGGCACCAGGCAAAATGTTGGGATAATGAGAGACAGGAAATGAATTGTACTTGAAGATTTGCAATGATCTAGGACAGCATGCAAATTAACTGAAATGTTTACTTTATTTGATATGCTACATTAATTGGTTGGCTTTGCCTTCAATGAAGTCCAGCAACCCTCCTGGCTGGGAGCCTTCTTGTCTGGAAAAATTCATACCCAAACAATGAAAAGTCAGATAAGTAGTGGTAGTTTCTAAACATTTGTTAAGTGCAAGTCCATACAGACTTTAAAATGTAAAAAAATGTAAAGGTTTTCCCATGACATGAAAGTTCAGTCATGTCTGACTCTAGGGGGTGGTGCTCATCTGCTCATCTCCATTTCCTAGCTGAGGGAGCCAGCATTTGTCAGCAGACAGTATCCATGGTCATGTAGCCAGCATGACTAAACACTGAAGTGCACGGAATGCTGTTACTTTCCCACTGAAGCGGTACCTTTTTATCTACTTGCATTTGCATGCTTTCGAACCGCAAGTCACTCCCAAATTCTTGGCTGAATGAGAAAATCTGAAATGGAGGTTCAGGTCTCTCACCATCCCAGCTCTTGCCTGCTTTCAATGCAAGCAGTGGCACTCTCTTGAAAGAAACCTGCTCTTGACAAGGGCTGGTCTATTTTTAGCCTATTTTTTGGGGTATGCTCATCCACCCCTCCCCCAGTCTCTTTTTCTTCACTCTCAGTGAAGCCAAGAGACAAATAGCATAATGAGCCCTCCCAGAGCCAACCAAACAGTAATTTGAGAAGCAGGCGCAAGGCGATTAGGTACAACATTTAATACGGGTTAAATATAGCCATATTGGATGTCTCTAAGCAACCTATCCACACACTTGGACTGATGGAACATGTGAGAATGGCATGTGGCAGGGACATCAGTCCAAACACTGACACACTACCTTGAATGCTGCAAATAGGATCCAAAATGAAGTTCATTAGTAAATTAAATTTCACCCCTCAAGGAATGCTATCAAATCAACAATGGGCTGACTTTGGCTCCTACAATACACCATTGACACATTTAGGGTTAAAATTTGGCCTTCTTTAGGAGCTACAAATTGCAGTGTCAGTGCAAACCAAATATCAGCACATGTGAAATTATTTAACAGAAACAGGGCAATGTGTCTTTCCTCTTTCTCTGCCTCCCTCATTACTTTTTTTTCTTGTCTGTAGCTCTTTGTCAGCTCATAGATCATTATTTTCCCCTCCCCAGGCTGACTAAGACCTGTATATAGTGCCATTCCAAGACCCAAAATACCTTGAGGATGGACATGGTAGCCCTTAGAAACCTTGCCTCTTGGTGTGACATGTCCAAGACCCAGAGAAATTTCAGATCTAAGGCAACTGCTTAAAGAACACCAAAGAAGAGGAAAGACATTGCCAAAGAGAAGACACTGGTTTACATAAAATTAATCTGTGTTAATTCATAAGTATGAATCCAGATTTATCAACAATTACAACAGAAACCCTTTCCCCTGCTTATTCTTCTGTCCAGGTGCTAAATGCAGATGGATAACTTCAACACCCCTCCTCCACTGTCTTAAGGTTGTTCTTTTTTTAAAGCAGATCCCCCTAGACAAGTTCCTCAAATAGAACACTCATTTAAATAGAAAAATGTCTTCTGACACCCATTCAAACAGAGAAATATCCCCTGTAAAGTAGGCCACTTGGCCACCTCAAGTATAAATAGTCAAGAAAAATTACTTTTGAATCTCAGAGGCAGGCTAATTAGCAGTGCCAACTCTCAAACACAACATAGCTCACTCTGTTAAGGTGAAGGGTTGACAATGGTGGTTGGGCTACTGCAGAAAGAAACTATATTTTCACTGTTTCCATAACTAGCAACTAAGATGCAAACCATAAAGGTCTTTGAAGATCTCAAAGGCCATGAAGGTGGCTAAAAAAGCCAAGATGGCAAAGTTGGTGGAAGCTGTGAAAGTGAAAGGCTATAAGCAGCATTCCAGAGACCGTTCCGATTCAGATCAGAGTGGGAATTCAGTGCCAAACATCCTGGAGCCAGAACTGCTGGAACTGAGACCAGAACCCATCTTGGTTGCCTCATTATTGGAAGGGGAGATCTGAGACATATCTCCAACTGCTCAGCCCCCTTCTGAAGTTTTGGCACCACACCAGGAACCAACCTCCCTCAGATCCAATTGCCACAGCAATCACTCCTGTTCTCTCCTCTCTGACTGGGACAGGTGTTCAGAATGGTCTGTCCCTCCTCTGTACCAAGTGTATTATGGCCCATGGAGGTATCTTTGTCACTCCAAAGCCTTCTACAGTCCTCAGTACTGAGAGGATTTCTATCCTGAACCTCACTGTGGAAGATGAGGCCATCTCTATTAGAACTCTTAATTCCAAAGACTGCCATCTCTGCCCCCAAACCTGCAAGAGCTTCCTTCTTGACATACAGATCTTCAGAAACACTTGGAGTGTGCCACATCCTTTGCCATGTCACTATGCCAGTCATCATCTCCTGCCTCGTCTTCCATCAAATGTTAAAGATTACTTCTGAGTAAGAGTCAAGCACTTACTCACTGGTCATCTACCTTCTCTCCAGACAGGACTGTGGGAACCCTGCCTATTCATCAGTAGGTATCAGTCAGTTATCTGAAAAGATCTTGAGAAAGATCCAATTTCTGGGAATGGTCTACCCAACTGCAGGTGGAGAGGATAA